GAACACATGTAGTTAGTTAGGAGTTGTCAGTTGTACAAGTTGTTAGTTGGTTAAGAGTTCTATTAAGTTTATATATATATTATATATAATAAAATATCTTACAATTTAAATTTCAAAAGATAAATAAAATGACTTTAGCTATTCGCGGTTGTGATCGCTTTATATTTTACTTTAAAGTTAATCTAACGGCTAATATTAATACCCTAAATTTAATAGAAAAAATAGGTCCCTAAGGGTGTATTTGAATTGACTTTTTAAAATTACTTTTAAAAATTATTTCTCATAAATAGTTAAAACAAAAAAAAAGTAGTGTTTGAAACCGCCTCACCCCCACCGTCGCCGCCACCACCACCACCACTGCCGCTACCACAGCCTTTGCCATCACCGCCGTCGCCCCCACTACCACCACTGCCGCCACCACCATCGTCATAGTCACCACCACCACCATCGCCACCACCACCATTGTCGTCATCAACACCACCCCCCACCACTGCCGTCATCACCGCCGCCTCTACCACCACCATGGCTACTGCCGTCACCACCACCACCATCACCATCACCATCACCACCACGATCATTACCACCCATTACAACCATCACCGTCTCCTACCACCACCACTGTCGCCCACCACCTCTCACCCCCATTACAAATCGATGCTTAAATATTTTTATCTTTTTTCTATATTTGTGATTTAATTTTGGATATGAATACAAATATGTGTATTATTTAATATTTTTTATTATTCTGTGCCTTCAGGCACATGCAATAACTAGTATATATATATAAAGTAGCTTAAAATTCAAATTTCAAAAGACAAAATGACTTTTGTTTTTCGCGATTCAGATTGCTTTAAATTTTACTTTAAAGTTAATCTAACGGCTGATATTAACATTCTAAATTTAATAGAAAAAATAGGGTCCTAAGGGTGTGTTTAGAGTAATTTTTTAAAAATACTTTTAGGAATTATTTTTCGTAAGTACTTTAAAAAAATAGTGTTTAAAACCGCTTCACCACTATCTCTACCACCACCACCGCTACCACCGTCGGCCCCCCCCCCCACCACCACCGCCCCCATAGTCATTGTCACCCACCACAACCATCACCGTCTTCTACTACCATCATTGCCGTCCACCACCTTTCACCCCCCATTTCAACCGATGCTTAAATTCATTTATCTTTTCTTTATATTTGTGATTTGATTTTGGATATAAATATAAATATATTTATTATTTATTATTTTTTATTACTCTGTGCCTTTAGGCACAAGAAATAACTAGTATATATATATATAGGGCATCAATGTAATTAAAACTTAACTGAAAATAAATAAAATCTGTTTCTCTCTCTTTTTCTCTGCTCTGTTTTTGCATCTGGTTAGATTTATGGTCTCTTTCAGTCAGGATCAGCAAAACCAAGGAGAGATACTTGAATAAAATTATAAAAGTTGAAAAAATTGTAACTATTTATTAACTCTGCTTAGTTGCGACTAGTTCAGAGCTGATGCACTGCAGCCACGATCCTGTTTGGCTGGTCCTGTCTGTGTTCAATTGTTCCATTATGTAATTTTCATACGTGGTCTTCAAAGAAAATGATGTTTCGGATTCATTCAATTTTATTTTATTTTATTTTTTGTTGACTTTTGGGTGGGACAGGAGGTATTATAGGTGGACAATTTTTGTAGGCTAGGAGGGACTAGGGAAACCTAAGCCTTTAGAAAATGATTTTTTTTTAATTTTTTAAAAATGATAATCATTCCAATAACGGCAGATTTATCCCGGTTATACTGCTGACTTCGATTGCTTGCTATCACCTGTAAGTGACATGTTCTGTTAACCCGAGACTTTCTTTCTACGATTGGAATTATGAACATTGATCAAAACAGTAACCTTTAAGAGATGACCTTGAGTTGTGCTGAGTTTATCATATGCATTGAAAATCACTAATAGGATTGTCGATTGATTAATTTTTTTTTATTAAATGTGTGCTCAATTGCTGGCAATTGTATAGAACATATAGTAACAAAAAAGACAAAACATAAGAAATGAACAAACTATAGAAGACTGACCAAAAAAAAAAAAAAATATGACCAAAAAATGGGAACTTTATCTGACCCAAAAAATTTTTAAAAAAAAAAGTTACTGGGTTGGCCTAATTACCACCGGCCCGTTGTTGGAAATCTTGTCATCTCCATTCCTGTAATAATGCTTGACAAAAAAAAAAAAAGTAGTTTGACCGAAAAAAATAAACCACCCTAGAAAATTGATTATGTGAGGATTTTGTGGCATTGTTTATTGCTTTATACCAAATCAACATGAACAAGCCATAAGCCGAAGGCATCTCAACACCCAACTCCCCTCAGCATTGACATCTACATATTACACCAGGTGCAGGTAGATCATGCCCAGAATGCACGTGAATAGGTGGAAGTATCCTTGTTCCAAGNATAAGTTATATTATACAACTTTTGTCTCATGTTTATTTGGATAAAATTTTCTCCACTTATATTCGACGGTTTGTAATTGTATAATTATGTTCGGTTGTTTCATATTGATCTATTAGCTATTATTTGTGCATGAAGACACAGAGTAATAAAAAATTATAAATAATAAACATATTTATATTCATATCCAAAATCAAATCACAAACATAGACAAAAGATAACGGAATAAAAGCAACAGTTTGTAGCGGGAATGACAGGTGGTAGCCGATAATGGTGGTGGTTGGAGATGGTGATAGTTATAGTGGGTGATAATAACTGTGGCGGCGAGGGTGGCGATGGTGGTGGTGATGGCGATGGCGAAGTTGGTGGTGGTGGCGACAGAAGCGACGACGACAGCAGTTGTAGCGACGGTGGTGGTGGTGGTGGCGACGACGGTGGCGATGGAATTGGTGGCGGTAGAGATAGTGGTGGAACGATTTCAANGGTGGACAATTTTTGTAGGCTAGGAGGGACTAGGGAAACCTAAGCCTTTAGAAAATGATTTTTTTTTAATTTTTTAAAAATGATAATCATTCCAATAACGGCAGATTTATCCCGGTTATAATGCTGACTTCGATTGCTTGCTATCACCTGTAAGTGACATGTATCTGTTAACCCGAGACTTTCTTTCTACGATTGGAATTATGAACATTGATCAAAACAGTAACCTTTAAGAGATGACCTTGAGTTGTGCTGAGTTTATCATATGCATTGAAAATCACTAATAGGATTGTTGATTGATTACTTTTTTTTTATTAAATGTGTGCTCAATTGCTGGCAATTGTATAGAACATATAGTAACAAAAAAGACAAAACATAAGAAATGAACAAACTATAGAAGACTGACAAAAAAAAAAAAAAAAAAGATGACCAAAAAATGGGAACTTTATCTGACCCAAAAATTTTTTTTTAAAAAAAGTTACTGGGTTGGCCTAATTACCACCGGCCCGTTGTTGGAAATCTTGTCATCTCCATTCCTGTAATAATGCTTGACAAAAAAAAAAAAAATAGTTTGACCGAAAAAAATAAACCACCCTAGAAAATTGATTATGTGAGGATTTTGTGGCATTGTTTATTGCTTTAGACCAAATCAACATGAACAAGCCATAAGCCGAAGGCATCTCAACACGCCCAACTCCCCTCAGCATTGACATCTACATATTACACCAGGTGCAGGTAGATCATGCCCAGAATGCACGTGAATAAGTGGAAATATCCTTGTTCCAAAAGANTTTTGTAGGCTAGGAGGGACTAGGGAAACCTAAGCCTTTAGAAAATGATTTTTTTTTTAATTTTTAAAAAATGATAATCATTCCAATAACGGCAGATTTATCCCGGTTATACTGCTGACTTCGATTGCTTGCTATCACCTGTAAGTGACATGTATCTGTTAACCCGAGACTTTCTTTCTACGATTGGAATTATGAACATTGATCAAAACAGTAACCTTTAAGAGATGACCTTGAGTTGTGCTGAGTTTATCATATGCATTGAAAATCACTAATAGGATTGTCGATTGATTAATTTTTTTTTATTAAATGTGTGCTCAATTGCTGGCAATTGTATAGAACATATAGTAACAAAAAAGACAAAACATAAGAAATGAACAAACTATAGAAGACTGACCAAAAAAAAAAAAAAATATGACCAAAAAATGGGAACTTTATCTGACCCAAAAAATTTTTAAAAAAAAAAGTTACTGGGTTGGCCTAATTACCACCGGCCCGTTGTTGGAAATCTTGTCATCTCCATTCCTGTAATAATGCTTGACAAAAAAAAAAAAAGTAGTTTGACCGAAAAAAATAAACCACCCTAGAAAATTGATTATGTGAGGATTTTGTGGCATTGTTTATTGCTTTATACCAAATCAACATGAACAAGCCATAAGCCGAAGGCATCTCAACACCCAACTCCCCTCAGCATTGACATCTACATATTACACCAGGTGCAGGTAGATCATGCCCAGAATGCACGTGAATAGGTGGAAGTATCCTTGTTCCAAGAGAAGGTCTGAGGAAAACCTAGGGTTCAATGATACGTCAAGGAAGTGTGCCATTCCCCACACTGATCTACGCTCATCCATTCTTTCCTTCTTCCTAGGAGAGATCAACAGCAGCAATCTATCTTCATCATCCTTTTCCTTCTCTTTATAGTTCCTAAATGGCTCTCTTAAACATTTAAACTAGAATGCTCTATAGCATACCTTATTTATGAATGCACTATAGCATTCCCAAGCCAAGAAACACAGACAGGATGATAACAACTTAAAATGACAACCATTATGCAGCAACAAATAAGATCAAAAATCCCATCATTGCAATTTCAAAGTAAAAATAATGACATCTTTCTAGCCTTGGGAGAAATATAAAATCCGAATTTCATAAAGTTGACCAATGTTAACTCTCAACTCAAATCCTCCAAAAATGTAAGAATATAAGTAAACAAAATCCCCAAGTCAATCAGCAGAATGAGCGTTATAATAGATGCAAAGTGCCAAAACAGATTCTGTTGTGGACTCTCCTACACCTTAATAGCATATTTCCTCATGGGAAAATACATCTCTCTCTTCTTCTCCCGTTCAGTCTTCAGCGATGCCTGCACAAACAAAGCAAGGACCAAAAGCTTTTACAAAAAGTCTTCGTACATGAAAGCCACACTAGAACCAAAAGTCTACTGTGCAACATGGCAGATCAATAGCCCGGTAGCAGTTTTCAAACTCATTGACGGGAAGAAAGAGAAATACCATCACCAAAAGCATGATCACAATAAAGAATCGTGGTAATAACACCAAGAGGAATAATGCCAGGTGTCAGTTTTTTTTCCTTTTTTCCTTTTTCCCAAGCAATTGGAGGAGTCTGCTCATGACACCTAAATGTAACATGAACAACTTACTGGAAGATAGTTATGTCATTATCTATCTAATATTTCAGCTCAAAACTTGAATTCTTAATTTATAAAAATACAACGGTCAAAATTGATCCAATTTATATCTACTTTGATCTAATGGTACAAAATTCATACCAAAAAAAATTTTTCCACTCAAAATATATTTCTCTCTATTCAGTCCTCAATGTCTGACAACTCAATCAACACATCAACGCATTCCCCAATGCAATTAATCCTCTTTCTATTCTCTCCCTCCCTCTCTCTCTCTCCTACCTTTCTTATTTTCTCTCTTCATTTTGATTTTAAATTGCGTAATTAAAAAAAATAAAAAGATAAATTACTATTTAACAAATAAATATTGTAAGGATAATGATCAATTTTTGGTATTACAGAATGTCTTCCGGAGTTATTGCTAGTTTATCTATATGACACCTTTAATTAGGTTTGTACTAACATCTTGGAGCACAGAGTCCAACAATAAGTTTGGGGACTCAAAATAGGGTATATAAAAAGTGGGTCAGAGTTTGTCAAGAAGAGATTTAAAAATATCACAAAAACCACTATCATATCAGACTACCATTCATCTACAGTAGAATCCTAAAGGACTCATATTTTTCAGCCAAACAAAATGCACAACCACCTATGGTTAGAAGAAAAACAACACATTTTTTTAGCAAGAATCTTAAACCAGAATCTGTTGTGATTTTAGACAAAGAAAACTGCTGTTCTCAATTTTAAAAAGTTTATTCAAGACAATTTACTCAAGTCAATTCCATAACTGAAACATCTTCAGTTACCAGACACATTTTAATCAATGTAATTCATCCCCCCAAGATTCACTAATCTCCCACTCACTTAAAGATTTGTCTATTTCTTCCTTCAGTAAATTATTTTGGGCCAGCCAAACAAAAGAAGAACTCAACACCACAATAAACATGTCTCTCAAACTATTAACCTCCATAACATATGTTGTCTTTAACAGCCAGCCCAAAAGCAGTCAATGAACAGATCATTGGTCGAGTGGCAACATTCATCAAAAGCCGAACAGTTTAACAAGCTCCAACTTGACCTACACCAACTTTCTTCCATCATTTAGTGTTCACAGAAGTATAAAAACGGGTTCTAGAATGATTTCATCAAAATAAACCCAAATCATAGCGAAGAAAACTAAGGGAAAGGTTACTGGTTTACATTTGTAGAGTTCAAAATGAAAATCACACCTATCTAACACAAGTAGATGTAGTAGCATCCATGTGAGATTCTGAAGATTTTTAAGTTAGAGATTTCAGAGTGAAGAAAGTTTTAGATCCATTCTTTACCCTAGGAACCGAAAGAGTTTTCGGTGACAAAGCAGGTGCTTTACCAAAAATCCACACAAATATATAATGCAACGAGAATAACTAACAGCTAGCATGTAATAAGACCAGCAATAGCAATGCTAAGCAAAATGATCATTTAAAAAATTAAACAAATGAGAGCAGAATTAGAGAATGCCAAAGGTAGAAGGAAAATGATACCTGGTGCTTGGTAAGACGTCGACGGATAGCTCTGGTCTTCTTGGGACGCAAATCAAGAGGCAAGTATTTTTTGTTCTTGTATGCTTCCCTGAGAGCAGCTTTCTGTTTCTGTGAAATCACAGTCAATACCTGAGCAATTGACAGCCTCACCACTTTTCTGCATAAACAGAAAGAACGGTAATAAACTCAGCTCAGGTGGAAACACCAATATAATTTCAATATCTATTGAAATGTAATCCTGATCAAAATATGCCAAGATAAAGACCTATAAGCATCAGACTATTAGCATGCATATGCAAACACATTTGCGTTAGGTAGTCAAATTTCCCATTAAAACCATTCCTTATCAATTCATGATAATTTTATGTAAAAAATCAATCATAAAAACATTGGGTCAATGTACAGCCATAACAAGATTTGAAAGCTACAATTCTGGAATCCCTAGAATTTCAATTTGGAATTAACTGTAGTGAAGACTCCAATGTTCATCAGATGATGGTTTTACATCTTATAATGCTATGCCCAAGCATAAAAATGGAGAATTTCATGGAGATCACCAAGGCTTAACCAACACCCAACTATCTCAAACATCCACATGCCCTCGAGTGCATGAACAAAATAACACACACTAAAAGCTTTCAAAAGCACCCATAAATCCACCAATCAGTTCCAAAGCTAAATTATGCGATCTAGCTATTGAGGAAAATAAATAGCAAACTTCTCACAAATAAGGTACAAAATCCGTCCATCAACACACCAAGGAGCTCAATCATACAGAAGCGAGCATATACTTATCATATGCATTCATTTATATGTGTGTGTGTGTGTACAAAAAGAGAAATACAGAAAGAACTAAAGCATACGAACACCAAACAAGTCTTTCTTACAAATCTAACAGTTAAACGTGATTCAAATTGATTCGAACGCGAAATGAGAGAGAGAGAGAGAGAGAGGAGTACATCTTGGAGAGCTTGTTCGGAGCTCCACCCGTGACCTTGGCGACTCGGAGAAGAGCGAGCTCAGCCTTGAGATCCTTCAACTGACTCAACAAATCGGTCTTCGCCTTGTTTCTCAGCTCATGTACCTTAATCCTCGCTGTATTTATTCAACATTCAATTCATTCATTCATTTGAAAATAATTTCACAAAACAAGAACTAATTCACATCAATAACAGAGCATTATACAGTCGAAATTGAACACAAAAAAACTCAAAATTGGAGCTCTCAGCTACATACCCATTGTTTTGAAGCAGCTGCTATTACAAATGCTGCTCCGGCTTTGCCCTGAAACCCTAGTAAATATGAGACCTGGTTAGACTTAGGGTTTCAGTTCATGGGGTTAGGGTTAGGGTTATACGCGTTACCCTTAGACTGCCGATTAGGTTGGGCTGGATTTAATGTGGGCTTGAGACAGATTACAAGTTCTGGTTTCTCATGACTTTCAAGGCCCATAATTCAAAGCACCATCTGCGAATCTAACATGAAATTGACACGGCATGCCTAAGTTTAAGTTGGGTGCGACTAAAAGGTTTTCACTTACTGTAGAATGTTCAGTTTAAACTATAGTTATTGATTTGAAAAAAGTCGAGCCCGCCACTACAGTCCATTCGAGATGTAAATGAACATTCAATCCCTTCTCACTAGCATTTGGTTCACGTAATTATTATCGTAAACGAGTTTGAACACGTGACTGTTGAAAGAAGAGCAGAAGTCTTATCCCAATTGCCGAAGCCAACTCTGCTACCACCTCGGTGGCAAGTTCAAATTTAGCTTTAGCGAGTTTAGATAATAAATAAGTAAACATGACAAACTCGTTAAACATAACTTATATATTATACGAACTTAATACGATATAATCCATGATACATATAAATTAGTTGGGTATTTTGATAAATTTTATCAAAACATAATTTTTACATTAAACGAACCCGACATGACAAAACACGATATATTACAATTATATTATAGCTTAAACAAATTCTATCAATGTTAAACGGGTATTTGCGTGCTTTTGCAATGCCCATGTGTGCTGGTTTAACCCAAGTTTTAATCCATTTACTTCGACAATGCAAGCTGTCCTGATCTCATCTGGGTTTTAAGAACTCATGTCCAAAAACCACATAACACAAGGAAAATTGGTCTAATGATAGCACAATGGTCCAACAATGTTTTCCAGTGGATCCAAATTTCAATACTCTAAGGATGTGTTTGTTTCGATGGATATAGAAGTAGGATTTGCTAAAAAAATCTTAGGGCCTCACAAATCTCAGGTTGGAATGATAAATGTTGGGCTACAAGTAATTGGGCCGTAGTGAATGCAGCCATTAATCCCTTTCTATCCGGATAACAACAACCCAAGGTACCAGTGGGATATATTTTCTACCGCCAGGAAAAAATCAAAACAGTAAAAGCTAGGAATATAGTTATTTCAGCCTTAGTTGATTTAGACTTGTGCATGGGACCCACACTTATCATGTTATCTACCCCAAACGAAGGATTAGATGGCATACATATGCATTGGACGCCTCTCCACTTGGACATCTTTGCATTGGGTTGGATGAATTTGGGTTCACAATTTAATCCAACTCAATCCATCTTTGAGAATTCAAACAAGCCCCAAGGAGGCTCACAATAAGTTATATTATACAACTTTTGTCTCATGTTTATTTGGATAAAATTTTCTCCACTTATATTCGACGGTTTGTAATTGTATAATTATGTTCGGTTGTTTCATATTGATCTATTAGTTATTATTTGTGCCTGAAGACACAGNTCTAACAGTTAAACGTGATTCAAATTGATTCGAACGCGAAATGAGAGAGAGAGAGAGTGAGAGAGAGAGAGAGAGAGAGAGAGAGAGAGAGAGGAGTACATCTTGGAGAGCTTGTTCGGAGCTCCACCCGTGACCTTGGCGACTCGGAGAAGAGCGAGCTCAGCCTTGAGATCCTTCAACTGACTCAACAAATCGGTCTTCGCCTTGTTTCTCAGCTCATGTACCTTAATCCTCGCTGTATTTATTCAACATTCAATTCATTCATTCATTTGAAAATAATTTCACAAAACAAGAACTAATTCACATCAATAACAGAGCATTATACAGTCGAAATTGAACACAAAAAAACTCAAAATTGGAGCTCTCAGCTACATACCCATTGTTTTGAAGCAGCTGCTATTACAAATGCTGCTCCGGCTTTGCCCTGAAACCCTAGTAAATATGAGACCTGGTTAGAGTTAGGGTTTCAGTTCATGGGGTTAGGGTTAGGGTTATACGCGTTACCCTTAGACTGCCGATTAGGTTGGGCTGGATTTAATGTGGGCTTGAGACAGATTACAAGTTCTGGTTTCTCATGACTTTCAAGGCCCATAATTCAAAGCACCATCTGCGAATCTAACATGAAATTGACACGGCATGCCTAAGTTTAAGTTGGGTGCGACTAAAAGGTTTTCACTTACTGTAGAATGTTCAGTTTAAACTATAGTTATTGATTTGAAAAAAGTCGAGCCCGCCACTACAGTCCATTCGAGATGTAAATGAACATTCAATCCCTTCTCACTAGCATTTGGTTCACGTAATTATTATCGTAAACGAGTTTGAACACGTGACTGTTGAAAGAAGAGCAGAAGTCTTATCCCAATTGCCGAAGCCAACTCTGCTACCACCTCGGTGGCAAGTTCAAATTTAGCTTTAGCGAGTTTAGATAATAAATAAGTAAACATGACAAACTCGTTAAACATAACTTATATATTATACGAACTTAATACGATATAATCCATGATACATATAAATTAGTTGGGTATTTTGATAAATTTTATCAAAACATAATTTTTACATTAAACGAACCCGACATGACAAAACACGATATATTACAATTATATTATAGCTTAAACAAATTCTATCAATGTTAAACGGGTATTTGCGTGCTTTTGCAATGCCCATGTGTGCTGGTTTAACCCAAGTTTTAATCCATTTACTTCGACAATGCAAGCTGTCCTGATCTCATCTGGGTTTTAAGAACTCATGTCCAAAAACCACATAACACAAGGAAAATTGGTCTAATGATAGCACAATGGTCCAACAATGTTTTCCAGTGGATCCAAATTTCAAAACTCTAAGGATGTGTTTGTTTCGATGGATATAGAAGTAGGATTTGCTAAAAAAATCTTAGGGCCTCACAAATCTCAGGTTGGAATGATAAATGTTGGGCTACAAGTAATTGGGCCGTAGTGAATGCAGCCATTAATCCCTTTCTATCCGGATAACAACAACCCAAGGTACCAGTGGGATATATTTTCTACCGCCAGGAAAAAATCAAAACAGTAAAAGCTAGGAATATAGTTATTTCAGCCTTAGTTGATTTAGACTTGTGCATGGGACCCACACTTATCATGTTATCTACCCCAAACGAAGGATTAGATGGCATACATATGCATTGGACGCCTCTCCACTTGGACATCTTTGCATTGGGTTGGATGAATTTGGGTTCACAATTTAATCCAACTCAATCCATCTTTGAGAATTCAAACAAGCCCCAAGGAGGCTCACAATAAGTTATATTATACAACTTTTGTCTCATGTTTATTTGGATAAAATTTTCTCCACTTATATTCGACGGTTTGTAATTGTATAATTATGTTCGGTTGTTTCATATTGATCTATTAGTTATTATTTGTGCCTGAAGACACAGAGTAATAAAAAATGGTAAATAATAAACATATTTATATTCATATTCAAAATCAAATCACAAACATAGACAAAAGATAACGGAATATAAGCAACAGTTTGTAGCGGGAATGACAGGTGGTAGCCGGTAGTGGTGGTGGTAGGAGATGGTGATAGTTATAGTGGGTGATAATGACTGTGGCGGCAAGGGTGGCGATGGTGGTGGTGATGGCGACGGCGAAGTTGGTGGTGGTGGCGACAGAAGCGACGATGGCTGCAGCGACGGCGACAGCAGTTGTAGCGACGGTGGTGGTGGTGGTGGCGGCGACGGTGGCGATGGAATTGGTGGCGGTAGAGATAGTGGTGGAACGATTTCATACATTATTTTTTTTAAAGTATTTATGAGAAATCTATACTACTAATAAAAGTATCTTAAGATGAAAAACTTTTGAATCTCTATTTTACCCTTATAAAGTATTACAAAAACTACTATATCCTTTCACAATTAAATATCTAAATTACTATTATATCCTTATGTCTTTAAATTTCTAAATTATCTATAACATCTATTTAATTATTTAATTAGTTTCTATAAAATATTTTGATTGATTATATTACTNAATCTATACTACTAATAAAAGTATCTTAAGATGAAAAACTTTTGAATCTCTATTTTATCCTTATAAAGTATTACAAAAACTACTATATCCTTTCACAATTAAATATCTAAATTACTATTATATCCTTATGGCTTTAAATTTCTAAATTATCTATAACATCTATTTAATTATTTAATTAGTTTCTATAAAATATTTTGATTGATTATATTACCCTTAAAAAAATATACATCATTATATTTTCAATAAAGTGTTCAAACAACTTTCAAAAACTCTATCAATCTAATATTACTCATGTCATATGCAGATATAATATTATGTCTGCATATATATATATATATTTTATCAGTATAAAATTAAAATTAATTTATGTTATATCNTATTACCCTTAAAAAAATATACATCATTATATTTTCAATAAAGTGTTCAAACAACTTTCAAAAACTCTATCAATCTAATATTACTCATGTCATATGCAGATATAATATTATGTCTGCATATATATATATTTTTTATCAAAAAAATTAACTTTTTTATTTATGAGACAAAAAATAATCATATGTATAATTTTTTAAAATTAATTTATGTTATATTAGTATAATTCTTTTGTCACAATAAATTGTTTAAGTTATATTAAGATTTTATGTAAAAATAAATATTGTAGTGTATTTTTATGTAAAACTTAATTCTTTAGAATTTTTGTATGGTTAATAATATATATTATAGAGTAGTATATTAAATCTTATTCCAATTGACATAACTAATTTCTAAGTGCAGTAAGGTTCTAATGTGATTAGTATATTAGCAATTACTTTTATTTTATTTAAAGAATTATAAGTGAAATCATAATCANTTTAAAATTAATTTATGTTATATTAGTATAATTCTTTTGTCACAATAAATTGTTTAAGTTATATTAAGATTTTATGTAAAAATAAATATTGTAGTGTATTTTTATGTAAAACTTAATTCTTTAGAATTTTTGTATGGTTAATAATATATATTATAGAGTAGTGTATTAAATCTTATTCCAATTGACATAACTAATTTCTAAGTGCAGTAAGGTTCTAATATGATTAGTATATTAGNGTATTTTTATGTAAAACTTAATTCTTTAGAATTTTAGTATGGTTAATAATATATATTATAGAGTAGTATATTAAATCTTATTCCAATTGACATAACTAATTTCTAAGTGCAGTAAGGTTCTAATGTGATTAGTATATTAGCAATTACTTTTATTTTATTTAAGGAATTATAAGTGAAATCATAATCAAATGAATTTCAAAAAAATTAATTTTTTAAACATCACTAAAAAATCAATCTCAATCAAAAAAATTCAAAAAAATAGAACTTTTAGTATTTCTTTTTTTTATTTTTTTTAATTATAACAAAGAATTTTTGGAACGTACAAAATTTTTATAATTGTATAATAGATTATGAATAGTAAAAAATTAAGTTTGGTAAATTTGAGATGATATTTAATTCAAATACATATATACCTAATATATTTTATTAATTTTTATATATGAAAACTATTCACGTGCAACGCACGTGATACATTTCTAGTAATTTATAAAAGTACTTTTAAAAAGTCATTCTAAATATACCCTTAGGAGTCTATTTTTCCTATTAAATTTAGGGTGTTAATATTAGCCGTTAAATTAATTTTAAAATAAAATTTAAAACAATCTCAACCGCGAATAACAAAAGTTATTTTGTTTATCTTTTGAGATTTGAATTGTAAACTACTTAAGTTACTTTATTATATAGACTAGTTATTGTCAGTGTCTAAAGACACAGAGTAATAGAAAATGGTAAACAATAAATATCTTTGTATTCATATCAAATCTCAAACATAGAGAAAAGATAAAAAAATTTAAACATCAGTTTATAGTGAGGGTAAAAGGTGGTGAGCGGCAGTGGTGGTGGATAGAGATGGTGATGATTGTGGTGAGTTACAATGATCGTGGTGGTGGTTGCGACAACGATGGTGGGGATGGCGGCGACGGTGGTGGTGGTGGTGGTAGAAATAGTGATGATGCGGTTTCAAACATTAATTTTTTTTAAAGTATTTATGATAAATAATTTTTAGAAGTATATTTAAAAAATCACTCCAAACACACCCTTAAATGCCTATTTTTCCTATTAAATTTAGGGTGTTAATATTAGCCGTTAGATTAACTTTAAAGTAAAATTTAAAGCGATCTGGATCACGAATAACAAAAATCATTTTATTTATTTTTTAAGATTTGAATTGTAAGCTACTTTATTATATAGATTTATTAAAAATGTGTAACTTGCCAATCTGATTTTGTTGAATCTAAACCCGTATTCAAGTACCTAACAAATCACATTTAAAAATAGTGACTCCTAATTTGAAAACATCAACCTACTTTGATGGTGCCACTCTACCACATTGTTTCATGAATTTGTATGTTTTGTCAATTAAAATATCGATTGAGTTCGTTCATTGTTTCTTGTTGCCCCACTAACCGTAGGAGCCAACTTTGCTTTGTGGTTGATATTTCTACAACGACTCGAGGCCTAACTTCATAACCACCCCTAGCTTTCAAGGGTTGGCTCTCGCACATGCTCTAACCACTAGGTGCATCACGAAGACATTATCGTATTCGCTTCATTTCTACATATTAAACTTCAAATATCTGAAATTATCTTCTAATCATAAATATTGATTAAACTTGGGACATTAACGAGCTTTGAAACCAATTTATAATTGTTAGCCCGACAATTTTACCTTTATTTCGAACAATAATCCCTTAGTTAAATTCACCAAGGGTGAATACAAATAGTTCAAGGTCGTCGTAAGCTATGCATAAGCAGTCTATAAGCCTAACTCCCGCTTCTCCTTATTT